GGTATTCATTAGAAGGTTTGCGATGTTTGGTGATAAGTTAGTGAAGTTTTATGTCATGTCATTGGGTTAACGGTTCACCTGCCGTCAATTAGCCACATTTTTGAACAGACAGGATAAACATCATGGACTTTTTGGCAGTAACAATTTTCCAAAAGATGAAAACCTTTAGGCGAGTTTGGAATACCACTGCTGTGTGAATATTGTGAGAACATGCATCTTTACTTTAAAAGTCGAACAGCCTTCGCTCCTCGTTGACCGTCATTGACCGTCATTTGTAAGGCTTCCCTACTAACTCCGTCAAATGAAAATATGACTTTCGGAACACAGTTAGATGTATTGGCCTATAACGGTGGTGGAATTGTTGGTGTAGTTATCCAGGCTATAATCAGTAACACTGCTCTGGTACGGAGACTGGACTTTCCATAGACAGTATAATTGTAAATGACGAGGTCATACTTCCGTAAGAAGGTTGTTTTAGCGCGTAATTATCCATTAGATCCATACTCGGCATGGTAGGAGAGGAACTCGAGTTGCTCGAAGCCAATGGCACTTTCAGACCCGTTGTAATATGTACTTTTAATCAGTATTTGACCTCTGTAATCAAAAACATCTGATGCACACTCATAAGTCTTAACTATTTAGATATATTGTCGAATCAAAACATTCTACTTATATTTGCGTGATATTTCAAGATCACTACTTGAATTTAGATTTGTTTGCTCATAATATCGTTTAAAACTATTTACGTTTTTTAAACCTATGTAAATAAGGTACCCCAAGGAGTCTCTTCTGTTTAACATGTAAATATAGGTACCACGAGGAGTCACTCTGTTTATCATGTAAATCAGGTACCACGAGGAGTCACTCTGTTTAACATGTAAATATAGGTACCACGAGGAGTCACTCTGTTTATCATGTAAATCAGGTACCACGAGGAGTCACTCTGTTTATCATGTAAATAAAGGTACCCGAGGTGTCACTCTGTTTATCGTGTAAATAAAGGTACCACGAGGAGTCACTCTGTTTATCATGTAAATAAAGGTACCCGAGGAGTCACTCTGTTTCATGTAACCATGTTAAGCGAACTCTCGTAAATTTGATTTCATGGTTTAAAAAGAAAGGAGCTTTTCAAAATTTGAAAATTAGTTAACAAGAGTTTAAAAAAGTATGGGGGCCAAAGTTTCATTTTACATGCTGTAGAGTTTCCACCACTGTGCTCTAAGGCGTTGTCAGGTTATCAACATTGTTCTTTTAAAACCGACAATTCAGGCCGCGTAGAAATTTGTTTAAGGCGATAAGTTTGCTTGTTAATATGCAAAATATAACTTTGTTTTCAACTCTATTCCTACATATATTTTTTATGCTACAAATATTTTGACATTTCTCGTTTGTATCACCTCTGAGTAAAACTAAACACTATTATAAAGATCCATTACGGCAGTACATCGCGGACGTATATCCATAATAGAGGAGAACCAAGTCAAAGAGCGCCAATCTTCAATCGATATCGGCCCCAATACCTCCGCCGTTAAATGGGTGGTGTGACAGTTGATAAGCATAGGCAGTAGGCAAAGAAACAGTTTGCCGTATGTGTTGTTAACAATTTGCCTTATGTGTTGTTAACAGATATTTTTTTAACGTGATGTTAACAGATTTGTAACGTAATGTCAACAGATTTGTAACGTGATGTTAACAGATTTGTAACGTGATGTTAACAGATTTTTAACGTGATGTCAACAGATTTGTAACGTGATGTCAACATATTTGTAACGTGATGTTAACAGATTTGTAACGTGTTGTCAACAGATTTGTAACGTGAAGATACTAGAATTATATCTCGATGCTTTTCAATTTTAGCGCCAATGCACAGAAAGTAGCGCTTGCTGGCTTTTACAGTTACCTAATGACCTAATATCGCTTAGCTTTAAAGGGTATCATTAAAAATTATATAAAATAATTATGGCCGTCGTAAAATATTTGGAGAATCAACACTATCACCCTTCACTGGCAATTACAGTGGTGACCAGTGTGTTTACCTAAGCTTTCCGTAAGACGTTATATACTAGTATTTTTGTGGATCGCCAGTTGCTTCTGAATGAATGAGGAGTACGTCTCTATAAACATAATAACTCCTGCTCATACCATAAATATTACACTATCAATACATTAACTCACTCAGTCCACGCCCACTTTCTGTCCAGTGTGTGTGTACCATATCGCTGACGTGTGGCTGTGTTGTTTATGTAGATAGTGACTGCATGACTAGATGACAAACCAGTATTTTGCATCATCTGTGACGTGCTTGTCAAACACACAAATTAATCATAGTCTCTTATTCTTCGACAACAAAGACAAAAGCAAATGCTTTCAAAGAGCGCGTGTCTTTGCATTAAGTAGGAGTAGATAACACCTGTATATCCGTGTAAGCATCTGTTCCGGATCCATTACCGAGCCGCAGCGCTCATCCGCTTTATCTCTAATGTTCGGCACACAGCAAATGAAGTGTGATATGCATTAGCTTTGTCAAAAGATCTTTCCCCATCACTTTAGAATTGGTAATATATATATATATGCAAAAAACTAAAGCAAAGTTAAACAAATGACAGAAAAAAATCAGGGTACAAAAAGATCAAAGAATACATTGAGGTATAAATGTGGTTATTGAAAATGATTTCGAACTGACGCCGAATCCATGACAAATTCAAGATGGTTTTTCGCCCTGAAGAAAACCTCGTGACATCAAGTACCCGTAATCGTTTACTAAAGTCGTGAGTGATCTATCTTAGCACATTTTAAAACTGTACTGAGCTGTGCAATATGCCTAAAGTGGCTACTACTACAGCGCAAAAAAATACCAATAAGGAAATGTTTTAATTTGACTGTGAACAACAACTGGCGACGACGTGTTTTTTGGTTCGCACAGAGTACATTTCTGATTGAAAGTAATAAACACAATTAGAGCTGAACAAACCAAGGGTAATCTGGTAAACATGTTTGAATATATGCAGCAAGTAACATTGTGCCGGTAATATGTGTTAATGTGTACGTAGAGCCTGTAATGATCCGCATTAATCTGGCTAAATCATCGATCCGTTTCCTGTTGACACATGCCGAAGCAAAGTTTTTATCCTACATTTGTAAACACGAGTAATGTACGAGGCTTGACGAAAAGTGTCAGTCCTCGAGATTAATGCCTTGCTACCTCATACTAGTTACCAGAGAAAGGCTTGCCACTTTCCGGCAAGCTGTCGTTAACACGTGTAAAGCGTTCGTCCACGGTTACTGCGATAATCCGAGTATCAATTTCCGTCCAATTAGATAACCTCCTGTTAATCCGTCGGTAAATGTGTGGACATGAATCGGTAAGTAGATGACGGGTTTTTTAACGTCGATATATCGCCAGCATCACGATAAATATAATTGATCTCACATAATTAGCAGAAGATGTACATTTCATTCGACCATGAACGCAATGGGAGCCGTGTCACTTTGACACTTCTCCTTCCGCCTCGCATACATATCCTGATAGCATCGCCTCCCGCTTCGCAAAACGTGAAATCGTCATTTGATGCTAACATTTGGGTCACGTTAAGCTGTTCCGGGAATATCGTTTACACTCACGATACAGACACTTCGATACCGCGAAAATAAGGAAACACTTACATTAAGATCAAGAATACCTGTAAATTCATGCTGTCAATAAATGTAAATGTTGATAAAATGGATGTTAAGAGAACTTTTGTTCAGTCCTTGCATGGCATACAACCGGCATTACATTTAAGTTTGATACAACATGTATATATAACAGATTCAACTTTGTAATATTTACACGTCTATCGTGGTATGTATTTGCGCAGCACGACTTTCTATATGTTTACCAACGTATGTAATTGTATATCAATGACGTGTTCACCATTTCCTAGGCGTATGTATTGTATGATATTGACGTGTTTACTAGTAGTTTAATGGACATTATATGTATTGTATGATATTGACGTGTTTACCAGTACTTTAATGGACATTATATGTACTGTATGATATTGACATGTTTACCAGTAGTTTAGTGGACATTACATGTATATGTATTGTATGATATTGACGTGTTTACCAGTAGTTTAATGAACATTACATGTACTGTATGATATTGACGTGTTTACCAGTAGTTTAATGGACATTATATGTATTGCATGATATTGACGTGTTTACCAGTAGTTTAATGGACATTGTATGTACTGTATGCTATTGCCGTGTTTACCAGTAGTTTAATGGACATTACATGTATATGTATTGTATGATATTGACGTGTTTACTAGTAGATTGATGAATATTGTATATACTGTATGATATTTACGTGATTACCAGTATATTGATGAACACTGTATATACTGTCCCCTATTGACGTGTTTACCAGTAGTTTAATGGACATTATATTTATTGCATGATATTGACGTGTTTACTAGTACATTGATGACTATTGTATATACTGTATGATATTGACGCGTTTACCAGTATATTGATGAATATTGTATATACTGTATGATATTGACGTGTTTACCAGTAGCTTGATGAACATTGTATGTACTGTATGCTATTGCCGTGTTTACCAGTAGTTTAATGGACATTATATGTATTGCATGATATTGACGTGTTTACCAGTATATGTAGTTAAGTATATATGTTTTATTCAGATATCTTCAACGAAATTTTATTATATCTTAATGCTAAGGAAATATTGATGTTTTCATTAGATATGGTAACACCCTTTTATAGATAACATTATTCATTCGTAATATGTTGCTGTATCGATTTATCTACAGACCCATGTAACATGAACAGTTTGACATTTCGCAGAAATTGTTTTTATTCAAAATGGCCGTCCGTGTCATGCTAACGTACGTCTGTATTACACACCTGTCGACTGAGTGTTATTAATCTCCTGTCTAAAAGGTTTAGTTTTACCTTCCACACTTTTAACATGATATGCTGTTTCTATTTTCCAGGTGTGCATAATACCATGACACACAGAGATTGAAACAGGTGTGACGAGAGCCGGGCCTACTCTGCTATAGTCTTACATTCACGCCAGACTGCCACACTGATCAATATTTTCAAGTTTTACATTTGAAGGATAATCGTTATGAAGTCACAAGAACTTCAATTCTCCGTTTTTTCTTGGGATTTGATAGAAACAGAATTTTTAGCTTGTACTCCAAAGGAATAACGGAAACCCACTTTTGTTTCAAATTGAAGTTTACGAAAGAATTGTGCAAAGTGAAAAGGTAATATCAAATAATTGAAAATCACCTAAAGGCATTATGGCAGATATGGATCAAAGAAATCGAATTGTGTTTCTCGGAGCCGGGCACGTGGGGAAAAGCTCCATCTTAAAACGTTTTCTACAGGGTACCTTCTCAAGTGAGTATAAGGAAACAGTGGAAGACTTATACAGTCGGGAGTACGACGTCCAAGGACACCATTTAAAGGTGGATTTCCTTGATACCGCCGGAAATATTGCCTTTCCGGCAATGCGCAGATTATCAATAGCTAATGCGCATGCGTTTGTTTTAGTTTACTCTTTAACAAGTGAAGCAACATTTGTTGAAGTGAAACAGTTATGGGAAAATATCAAAGAAGTCCGTGAGAATTACCAAGAAATTCCATGTGTTATAGTAGCTAATTGCATCGACATGGAGAACAACCGGCAAGTGGAGAAATTTGACGCGCTAAACTGGGCTTACAATGACAACCTGGGGGGCGCTTTCGTGGAGGTTTCTGCAAAAGACGACGAATGTATAACAGATATATTCAAAATTCTGTTTGAACAACTAAAAGTTCCACGTTCTAAACTACCGGAAAAGTTCAGTCTCCTAACACGGCGACTGAGCTCTCATTCTTTGGAACAATCCGACCACGAAGCTGAGCCAAAAACCCCTACAGAGGAGAAGAAGTTTTTTCGGAGTCGAAGTCTGATAAGAAGGGGAAGTAAGCCAAAGGTTAAAAGGTCGTCTAGAAATAAAAACGACTGCGAGGTATCATAGTGCCTGACAAATCTCGCGGTGCTTTAAAGTCTCGTGATTCTAACAAGTCTCGTTACTCTACCACGTCTGGTGATACTACCAAGTCTCGTGATGCTGTGTAATATTGACGAACCCCTACGATTTTAGTACAGGTCTTACCTGTTTACGAGTAAGGATATGTTGCCAGAACGTTGTGTAACATAACCGGACAAACCTTATTTCTCACAATTATACAGGCTCACGTACAAAAGGAAATGAGTGTGGTTGATTTGTTAGCAGTGTTGTACCAGGAGTAACTGACACTAGTTAGTAGTACTGGAGGTATAGGTAAATATACGCGTGTACGTGGTACAGGAGTGTTCAGAGAGAAACATCATTTTTTCTGAAATATACGCATTCTAATTAAAATACAGATCACTTCTAATAGATGTCAAGTTATCAGCACCTCCACCAGAGTCACGTGACTGAAGCCATCATATTTGTTTGATCGTATTTTATTAGATTGTCCATATTTTGACTTTGGCCACATCCTGTTTGACGATTTTGTGGTCGATTTTGAATGTAAGGGAGGAATGACAAGGCTGACATATTCTTCTAGACTGTACATAGAAATAGTAAAAGTTGACATTTGCCTTCGATTTCTGAAAGGAAATGACTTCTAGACATTTTCCACAATGTTTAGAAATGTATTGTTCACGGTTCATTATTAACTTTTAGTTTCCACTTTTTACGTTTTCCTCTACATGTGTACTTATATATTTGCCTGATAAGAGTAAGTGACATGTTTCTGTCTACATTAACATGTACAGTGAACTTTGTTGGTCCGGACCATTGGTTTCTGGCGGAATCACGATGGCCCGGATTATTTATAGTATCCAGAGAGATTTTTTTGTTGATGTCCGGATTGGCAAAGTTTTCTATGAAGTCCGGACTGACAATGTATTTAATCTAGTCCGGACTGACAAGTTATTTAATTAGTCCGGATTAACAAGGTTTTTAATTTAGTCCGGACTGATCCGATTTTTCCTGTAGTCCGGATACATGGAATCGTTTTAAGCCGGGTTACTACGACGCTTTTCTGTAGTCCGGTCTTATGAGGTTTCCTATTGTCTATATTACTGAGGTTTCACTTAAAACCGGACAAAGGAGGTTTTTTGTTTAGTCCGGGCTTATTATGTTTTCTTTAGTCAAGACTAAATAGATAACCCTTTTATCTAGACCAGAGATTTTTCCGTAGTCTGGGCTTATGTGATATTCCTGTAGTCCGGTCTATCGAAAATCTCCTGTTATTCCGACTAACGCGATTTTTCTTGCTTGTAATTCCGAATAACGGGATTTTTCTTACATGTAATTCAGACATTTCCCTGTGGTCTGGATTTACCAGTTTTGTTGAATATAATTGATTTTACTTTCTCCTTTTTCTCACTGTTGATATACATCATAAAAAATTGAGACTGCAGAGATGGTGGTCAAATGCTCCATAAAAATGGCATATTTTCGAAATTTGTTGATGTTATTAAATTGTATACTCATTTGCTCACACGGAAAATTGATTCCGATAATTTTCCTCATCTTGAATTGTTGAATATTTTATATTTCTGTTTACTACTTTTTTTAATGAATGTTTATGAAATACTTGTACATCATCGTTCACATTTTTATTAGGCAATGCCATTCATTGTTTTTATAGTTTTATCGTGTAGAGAAAGATCGCGTCATATTTTGAACACAATCAATGTTGCACTTCAAACTGAAAACTAGTTGTAAAAAATACAGGTCTCAGTGAAGTAAAAAAAAAAAATGTAAGTTGGTGAACTACAAAGGATATAAGTAAGTTAAGAAATTTAATATATTAAAGCAATAAAGGATATACAATTGTAAGTAGGCTAAGATATATAATTTATCAAACTGTAAAGGATATACATGTATATAAGTTAGGAATATAATATATTAAACTATAAAGGATATAAGAAGCTTTAGTTAACAAAAGAGAACGATGTTAAAAATAGTAAACTACATGTATAAAGAACAAAAGTAAGTAGGAATATATTTTAGTAAACTTCAAAGTTTAGGGGTAATTGATCATGAAGTTGTATCGCCAAACACAATCGGGGAAATAACATCGTCTCACTGAAATAACCTCGTCTCACTGAAATAACCTCGTCTCACTGAAATAACATCTTCTCACTGAAATAACCTCGTCTCACTGAAATAACACTTGGCCACTACATTTTTCTGATAGGCTACTAATGATATGAATAACCATGCAATCCACATGTAGTACGATCCTTGAAATGGTGGTCACAGGTAAGTGAGGAATTTGATGTAGAAGTGAGATAAGAAATAACAATGTAACAAGTTAGTAAAGAAATATCATTGACATAAGTAGGTTAAGAGATGTATTATAGTTACTACAGGAACATGATGAAAGAGATCACAAATTAGTTCAGCGATATAACACAGTGGTCAAAAGTAAGACAAGAGATAAAACACAGTGGTCAAAAGTAAGACAAGACATAAAACACAGTGGTCACCAGTAAGTCAAGACATAAAACACAGTGGTCACAAGTCAGTCAAGACATAAAACACAGTGGTCAAAAGTAAGTCAAGACATAAAACACTGTGGTCACAAGTAAGTCAAGACATCAAACACAGTAAGCAAGTTAAGAGATATATCAGTGGTCACAAGTACATGTAAGTTAAGAAATATGACACAGTGGTCACAAGTAAGTTAAGAAATATAACACAGTGGTCAAAAGTAAGTTAAGAAATATGACACAGTTGTCAAAGGTAAGTTAAGAAACATGACACAGTGGTCAAAAGTAAGTTAAGAAATATGACAGAGTGGTCACAAGTAAGGTAAAATATAGAACACAGTGGTCACATATAGAGATATAACAGTGGTCACAAATGAGTTAAGAAATATGACACAGTGGTCACAAGTAAGGTAAAATATAAAACACTGTGGTCACAAGTACATTTTTTTTGTAAGTTAGGAAATATAACACAGTGGTCACAAGTAAGGTAAAATATAGAACACAGTGGTCAAAAGCAAGTTAAGAAATATGACACAATGGTCACAAGTAAGATAAAATATAGAACACAGTGGTCACAAGTAAGTCGAGACATCAAACACAGTAAGCAAGTTAAGAGATATAACACAGTGGTCACATATAGAGATGTAACAGTGGTCACAAGTACATTTTTTTTGTAAGTTAGGAAATAGAACACAGTGGTCAAAAGTAAGTTAAGAGATATATCAGTGGTCACAAGTACATGTAAGTTAAGAAATATGACACATTGGTCACAAGTAAGTTAAGAAATATAACACAGTGGTCAAAAGTAAGTTAAGAAATATGACACAGTGGTCAAAGGTAAGTTACGAAACATGACACAGTGGTCAAAAGTAAGTTAAGAAATATGACAGAGTGGTCACAAGTAAGGTAAAATATAGAACACAGTGGTCACATATAGAGATATAACAGTGGTCACAAATGAGTTAGGAAATATGACACAGTGGTCACAAGTAAGGTAAAATATAAAACACAGTGGTCACAAGTAAGTTAGGAAATATAACACAGTGGTCACAAGTAAGGTAAAATAGAAAACACAGCGGTCACACAAAGTGATATAACAGTGGTCACAGGTAAGTCAAGACATAAAACACAGTAAGCAAGTTAAGAGATATATTAGTGGTCACAAGTACATGTAAGTTAAGAAATATATAACAGTGGTCACAGGTAAGTCAAGACATAAAACACAGTAAGCAAGTTAAGAGATATATTAGTGGTCACAAGTACATGTAAGTTAAGAAATATAACACAGTGGTCAAAAGAAAATTAAGAGATATAACACAGTAGTCACAAGTAAGTTAAGAGATATATCAGTGGTCACAAGTACATGTAAGTTAAGAAATATAAAACAGTGGTCACAAGTAAGTCAAAAGATATAACACAGTGGTCAAATGTAAGTTAAGGGAATATCAGTGGTCACAAGTAAGTTAAGAGATATAACACAGTGATCAAAAGTAAATTAAGAGATATAACAGTGGTCACAAGTAAGTAAAAAGATATAACACAGTGGTCAAAAGGAAATTAAGAGATATAACACAGTAGTCGCAAGCAAGTTAAGAGATATGACACAGTGGCCACAAATAAGTTAAGAGATATAACACAATAGTCACAAGTAGGTTAAGAGATATAATAAAGTAGTCGCAAGTAAGTTAAGAGATATGACACAGTAGTCGCAAGTAAGTTAAGAGATATGACACAGAAGTCACAAGTAAGTTAAAAGATATAACACAGTGGTCAAAAGTAAATTAAGGGATATAACACAGTAGTCGCAAGCAAGTAAAGAGATATAACACAGTAGTCGCAAGCATGTTAAGATATAACGCAGTAGTCGCAAGCATGCAAGTTAAGAGATATATCAGTGGTCACAAGAACATGTAAGTTAAGAAATATAAAACAGTGGTCACAAGTAAGTTAAGAGATATGACACAGTGGCCACAAATAAGTTAAGAGATATAACCCAGTAATCAAAAGTAAATTAAGAAATATAACAGTGGTCACAAGAAAGTTAAAAGATATAACACAATGGTCAAAAGTAAATTAAGGGATATAACACAGTAGTCGCAAGCAGGTAAAGAGATATAACACAGTAGGCACAAGTAAGTTAAGACATTTAGGAAATATAACACAGTGGTCACAAGTAAGGTAAAATATAAAACACAGTGGTCAAAAGGAAATTAAGAGATATAACACAATAGTCACAAGTAGGTTAAGAGATATAATAGTGGTCACAAGTAAGTTAAGAGATATAGGCCACCGATGAAAAGTAAATTAAGAGATAAAACAGTGGTCACAAGTAAGGTAAAATATAGAACACAGTGGTCACATATAGAGATATAACAGTGGTCACAAGAAAGTTAAAAGATATAACCCAGTGGTCAAAAGTAAATTAAGGGATATAACACAGTAGTCGAAAGCATGTTAAGATATAACGCAGTAGTCGCAAGCAAGCTAAAATATAACACAGTAGTGGTCACAAGTAAGTTAAGAACTATAACACAGTGGTCAAACGTAAATTAAGAGATATAATAGTGGTCACAAGTAAGGTAAAATATAGAACACAGTGGTCACATATAGAGATATAACAGTGGTCACAAGAAAGTTAAAAGATATAACACACTGGTCAAAAGTAAATTAAGAGATAAAACAGTGGTCACAAGTAAGTTAAGAACTATAACACAGTGGTCAAACGTAAATTAAGAGATATAACACAGTAGTCACAAGCATGTTAAGATATAACACAGTAGTCGCAAGCAAGTTAAAATATAACACAGTAGTCACAAGTAAGTTAAGATATAACACAGTAGGCACAAGTAAGTTAAGACATAACACAGTAGTCGCAAGCATGTTAAGATATAACCAGTAGTCGCAAGCATGTTAAGACATAACACAGTAGTCGCAAGCATGTTAAGATATAACACAGTAGTCGCAAGCAAGTTAAGATATAACACAGTAGTCGCAAGCAAGTTAAGAGAAAGATAACTTGTTTCCTTTTTTAAGGATTTTTCCGAGTTCTGTATCATACCGTTGATACGATTTTTACTCAGATTACTATCACCATGAACCATAATCACAACTACCATAAACAGGTCGCACAAACACTGTCAGTGTGTACTGTGCCGGCTTTGTAACGTTGGGTTCGTTATTGTTGTCTACAGAGGTAGATTTAGATCCGTAATAGGAGATAAATTTAAATCACGCAAAATCACGTCATGGTCATTTTAGTCATTTACTGCCATACATATATGGGGAAAGTTTAGTGGACACTTTTATTCTGTACTGAATGTAGATACAATCGTTCAGGACACACTTAATTTTGTTCTAAACTTAGTTTATATTTTCTTTTCCTGATCAGAGTCATTGTAGCTTTTTGTTCGGTGATATTGATGAAATGTTGTTTTTATAAATCATGTTATTTTAGTTTAATCAATTAAGTTATTTACATAATGTATCAATATGTTATAAGTTAAATCAATCAAATTGTTGTTCAGTCTTTTCGATTTTAGTATATTAGGTTATTTACCAGTTGTTAAGAACTTTTCCCAACCAGAATAGTTCCGATCAGCTTTTAACTTTATCTGGAGTTGTTTAATATATTGTCATTTTCGCTCTCTGAAACTGTCTGTTGTATATGTAATACATTTAAAATTGTACATTCCTTGTTTGTCTTTTTTTTTTATTTGATATATATTAACGACTGAACTTAGGTGATTAACTTATTTTGTTTGCATGTCATTAACACAGGTTTGGATTTTATATCTTTATTTTTCATTTCTGTATTATCTAGAATATATAAATATTGTCCAGACGTCGTAGACGTGGTGACGCTTTGTGGTATTTTCTATGCATTTACGAAAGATTTACAATGAGAGACTGTCAGACACCGTTCGGAAGGTTATATAGTAAGCGTAATTACTCGTGTTGTAGTACAAACCTCACTTTTGACGTCATCACTATTGGTATGTCCAGATGACGTCATTTCTGCCATTTGAAAGTATATATACTACATGATATATTATGTAAATGGCGACACATTCCTAACTCCTGATATTTTGAAGGTAGAGTCAATTTCTTTTAATACGATTTATTTTTATTGACGGTAGGACGGAGATGCGTATTATACCGCGAGCATGTAGTATTACAGTGTAATGTTTTTTGGTGAAGGCCTCCTGCAATTTTGATCTAAAGAACCTCGGCCTGACCTTGTTACCATATGAGAGTTGCCGGGATAAGCATGTTAACACTGACGTTTGTACCAGAAGTATTTGATATTTAGTCTGTTAAATATTAAATGGTAAACAGGGAAAATATCGTAAAGCAAGAAATGCGTAGTATTTTTTAGGTTTCCGTTTATAGTGACCAGGAGTACAACACAGTCCTTGGGACGGAGTCAGTTTCCACTTCTCGATTGTTTTCTCGCATTTTTATCAACGTTTCTCACTCGGGCCGAATAATCTAAATATATGAGGTCAGTAGTAAGTTGTTATGTACAACGCAAAATTTTAACCAACCCCGTACTTTAATAGATTATTTGAACTGCATCGTCAGGTTGCGCAAGAGAAAAATTGCTTCAAATCTATTGGAAAAACAGGTCTGAGTGGAAAGACTCAAGGTGATAAAGAACTTGAACTGTTGTTATTTCCTTTATTTATATATATGCTATAAGTAGCTACGATCCGCACCATGTTTAAGTGCTGGTGCGAATGAGAAACGTAGCAAACATTTGAGAAAATGACCAAAGCCTAAATACGTTACATTCCTGTTATTTATATTAGGGGATATAGAGAAATACCCTCTTAATTTACAGACTTTATATCAAATCCCATGGTAACGCGGTAGGTCTGTGACGTCAACTTTGATGTAAATAATAAAAGCACGTGACTCCACTCTTTGGTATTGTTGTTTGTTTAAACATTCTTTAGTTTATATAGGAACAATCAGGTGGTGTGAGTAGCCGAGGTCATTATGAACTAAAGAGAAACTCTCCCTTGCCGTGTCGGTAGGACGCAGCTAGTATTTTATCAAGTTGACGTCCTTTCAGTTCGGAATTTTATAAATAACAAATGAAATCAATACATACTTTGCAAAAAAATGTCACTTGAGGTTAACAAGGGTCAGCAGGTCAGTATAATGACGTCACTTAACCAAAGGGATACAGGTAGGTGTTGAAGTATTCTGCAATAAGCTCCATTGTTTTCCGTTTCAGGAAACAGACGATACAAGGACAGGTCAGGTAATGTGTCGTTCCCTCGCACAGAAAAATCCTAAGTAAACGTGCCGGTCAGTCGTGATACCACATCTTAAGCCGCGGTCACATCTTACGGTCACGCACGTATACGTAGTTGACTGTAATAGACCGTAGGTGACTGTAGTAGACCGTAGTTGACTGTAGTAGACCGTAGTTGACTATTAAGACCGTAGTTGACTGTAGTATACCGTAGTTGACTATTAAGACCGTAGTTGACTGAAGTAGACCGTAGGTGACTGTAGTAGACCGTAGTTGACTGTAGTAGACC